CCAGTGAAACATCTTCAAGAAAAATACAGCAAGTCCAGTTGCCTTGACTTATTTTTTACAGATATACCATGACCTGGATGAATGAGAACCTTCACAGACAGACAGTGATTTGCACCTGACTGAATGCAGTCATTGACTGTCAATTTTCTTTACCCATTTCCTTTCAATTTTGAATTGACGTTCGGCAACCCCGGGATCACCCATGGCTCAAATTTTGTCCCATTCGGCAGGAACATTATGCTTCTGTCAGCTCCTTCCTCTTGCCCTACTCAGTGTCTGCAGGACGAGGCTGCAAAAGAGGTCTGGCATATCGGAGAAACTCTAGGCAGGCTGTAGTCTGCCATCTCCTAAACATTCTTCTTCTTTCCTCCCTCAGCCTGCTTATCGCCTCCCTTAAAGGAGAACTATGAGGTTAAGGCTTTTCCCCATAGTTCTCCTTAGGGTAACGGGAGGACACAAACTAGCGTCCTCTCGTCACCATAGGCTCAGTATACCGCGAGCTGCTGCTCGCGGTATACTGAGACGCCGCAGCTGAAGCAGATCCCGACAATTATGTCTGGATCCGCCCAGCTGCGTGACTGACAGCTGGCTCTGCCTATCTAGAGGCAGATCCAGCTGTACCTGCCCCCTCCCCCCGTCCATTCCACCAGTCAGTGCTGGCGGATCGGAGTGGGGAGGGGGGGAATCCAGCCCTCCCCCTGTCACGGCAGAGAGCCATGACAGGATCGAGAGGTGAGTGAACGCCGGTATGTGTTCGCTCACCTCCCGATCTACTAAGCCGACCTGTGACAGTCTCATTGTCACAGGTCGGCTAGCACTATGAGGTGAGTAAAAAGCACTCACCTCATAGTTCTCCTTTAATACAAAACCAGCCAGCTGCTCCTGCAGTAATTATTACTATTCAAGGTTTATATGCGCTGAATACTGAAAAATGGCCTGGCCAGGAAGGGGGTCTAAACACCTGGTCTTGAAGTGGTTAAAGGGAAACTTTAGTCTTTTTACATGTAAAATAGGCCATAGAATGCTATTTCATTCCAGGTATTTTGTTTGAACCAGACAACAAACAAACCTAATCAGAGATCTCTAAATATATGCTTTGGATATTAGTGTGCGCAACAAAACCATTACAATTAAGAGCTAATTTTTGTCTTGGTGTTCTTCGCATGGCTGCATATAAACTAATACACAATGCTGAGGATGCTATCTTAGGGTTATATATATATTTTTTTAATTCTGTATTTGTATGATAAAACTAAGCTATAAAGTTAAATGTTTTAAAATGACACTAAACCTAGGGGTTAACTCCTCAGAGCCAGTGCAGACCTGACCGATCCGGGACGCATGTTCCGGGATTGCACGGTCATGCACAATTGCAGACAGCAATTGCTGTGCTGCCCCATTGATTTCAATGGGGTACATCCACGTGGCAATCACAGAAACATGTACCTTTTCTTTGCGATGCACGACGCATGGCTGTTTTAGCAGCCATCGTGTTCGGATTAGAAAATAATGGCACCCACAGCGCGTTCATTGCTGATGGACAACTCCGTGACCGTGCGGCATCGTGCACGATTGCCCCGTGGTCACAAATCGCCCAGGTGGGAACCTGGCCTGGAACTGCATTCACTCTGTTGATCCTCAAATCATCTCTGAATTGGTGCTGACACTGTCCTTCCTTCTGGAGGGGGGCTACTTTTGTTCCCCATGGTTCCTGTGTGTGTTGTAAAGTAGTCACCGCTCCAAGCTCACTCCTGGGATAGACTACAATCTCAATACAAATTAGTAAACTAAATGTAAGATTGTAGTCCATCACGGGACCATGAGAGGATTTAACTTCTGAGTTTAGTGTCACTTTAAAGTAGAAATCCATTCTGTTAGTGTATTTAAAGCCAAAATATATTTTAAGTTTTGTATAGCCTATGGAATAGATACAACCCTTGTCAGGTTTCTTGTGCCTGTGGCCTGTAAAGGTGCCCATACACTGGCCGAATTTCGGACGGTTTTTCATGTAGCAGTCGAAATTCGGCCAGTGTGTGGGGCTGTCGGCTGCCTTTCAGCCGGCATTCCTCGATCAGCTGATCAAAGGAGTCGGCTGGAAAATCTTTGTGCGATCAGAGCCGGCAGCCAATGAGCTGCCCGCTCTGATGTGGTTTCTGACTGATACCAGCGGCACCTGTCAGAATACAATGCAAACATCGCCGATTTCTCGATCACGCTGTTTGTGTTGATGGAGGAATTGCGTCAATTTCTTCAGTTCAGCCCGTGGGTTGAACGAAAGAAGTGGATAGGTGTATGGCCAGCCTTAGAGAGATTTTCCTTTTTGGAAACAGGAGGAAGATGGAGGCAATCTATTCTCTCTTAGACAGTTGTCATGGGATTAGTATCCCCACTGGAAGATTCCCCCTTACCTCCTGGTTCAGTGACACATTTTGGGTTTCTCATCACTTTCTGTCCTGGTGACATTGTTAAGTGGGACATTAGAGAGACGGTAAATCATCCCAGCAGTGACACAGATGGCCATGAATACCTGATAGGGGTTCAAACCAATCTCCGCTCTAAAAAAAAGAAAGTTTTTTGCTTTAACACTTTAAAAGCATATCGAAAACCAAAAATGTAATCTATCACAGTCTACCAAACCCTAAATGTGGTGGCTGCATTTGTTTTCTTTTTAAAGAATGTTTCTATTTTCAATGTTCTATTTGTCTTAGGATGGCTCCACTCTATGGAGGAGCCACAGAGCCCCCGCCCTTGGACAGCAGCATTGTCACCCTGTGGGGAGGTGGTGTTAGATGCTTCAGCAGATTTAGACTTTACTAACAAATTAAATCCGAAGTTTAGATAACGGCAACGGCAGATTTTTTTTTTCCTTATTGGGATAAACAATTCAAAAATCAATAAAATCTGACCGTTAGTGTTAAAGGGTTGATCTCATCCCTCGTTCTGCCACTTTTGCTGATTTATTTAAGGAAGTAGAAAAGTAAGACTTAGTGGCCAGACCACCAGGTGAAAATAAAGAAAAACAGCCCCAAAAAAGAAAACGAATGCAGCCACCGCATCTAAGAACTGGTAAGCTGTAATATAAGACATTTTGGTTTACAAAACCTTTAGCCCTGGCTCACACTTAGCGTATTGTCGCAGCTGAATAAGCGTGTCAAAATGCTTCACAAAAAATCCCATTCATTCTTATTGCCCCGTTCACATCTGAGCGTTTTGTCGCAATAAGCAAAACGTCTGTTGCTTGAAAAGGTGCACGAGCTTCTTTTTGGCATATTACAACTCGTTTTGTCTCCATAAAGTCAATAGGAGACGTGCATTGCAATTGTTTTTGCGCGCGCTTACTTGCATTTTGGCCAATTTTTCATCAATGTGTCACAGTCTGCTCAAAAATGTATTCCAGAATCCTGCTGCACTCCTTGCCGGATATCCCTGTCAGCGTGGGTGCTCGAAGTGACCGCGAATGGCGCCACCAATACTGAAACTTGTTAAAGATGTCACCAGCACACCGTATTGAAGTGAAGAGCACGTCTGTTTATTGACGCTTCGTGTCAAAACAAATAATAATGTTTCAGGGCCACACAGGGCCCCTTCATCAGCCTTGGAAGAAGCTTGATGAAGGGGACCCTGTGTGGCCCAGAAACATTATTTGTTTTGACACGAAGCGTCAATAAACAGACGTGTTCTTCACTTCAATACGGTGTGCTGGTGACCTCTTTAACAAAAAACAATCTGCTCATACAAACACAACTTAATGTACACGCGCAACTAATTTCTACGCGTGAAGATGCTGTCGCCGAGGTGGGAATCGGGTCTTCAGCATATATTTCATTAACGGGTTTTCCGGGATAGATGAAAGAAATGGTCTACTTTTGCCTGATTGTTTGTCCTTCTTGTACTTTGCTATGTTCTGGTTTGTTGTGTTTCTGAATGTTCATTGGGGGTTCTGGGTATTGCAGAAGAAAATGGTGTTTAGCAGAATTCCTCTTTAACTTCACATACCCTGAAATTCAGATGCAGAGTTCAAACAGCCATGGCATGTGTAGCAGGGAGGCAGCATTGTACTGGGTGCACATTCAGTGCATTACAGGAGTAAAGACCTATCTATGTTTGACTTGGCGTGCTAAACATTAACATACAGTCACCGATGTGTACATGAACGGCTCCATTGTCCTGCCAATTTTACTTTTTAAACCTTTTTTTATAACCAATTTCATGACGGTTTGAATTTTCTGTAGAGGCAGTCTCCGAGTTACAAACATCCGACTTACATACGACCCTTACTTACAAACGGGGGCTATTGCTGCACAGCAGGGGGTCACAGGTGGCAGCCAAAGTGTACCGTGCAGCATTTCAGTAGTTGTAATGCTACTGCGCTCGTGCCGATGAGGAGTGCCCGCCTTTTTGGGTCTGGTTCGTAGTACTGTACGTACATTACAGGAAGTTGGCTCTTGTTAGACATGCAGACGAGGGGTGCCCACCTCTTCTTCCGGGTCACTGTGAGGTTTTTACTGCTGTCTGTATCCTCATTAGAAAGATTTAATCTCACTTCCTGTCCTTGAGACAACAGGAAGTGAGAGGAAACCTACCCCTGGGAAGGGACATTCCCTCCTGTAAGAGTTATCATGGGAAAAAGGCGTCTCCACCGAAGAGTTATCAGCAATCCTTGATTCCACGACAACTCAAAATTTTCAAAATCCAATTGTCACAGGGACAGCAAGTGAGGTGGAATCTTCTGAACAGGGGCACACACAGCAAAACAAACATTACAGGGGGTTAACCCTTCCCTATGCTATCCAAAACTAACAAACACTTTTTTTTGGCTGGAGTTGCACTTAAAAAATTTACCTGTTCCAACTTCCATACAAATTCAACTTAAGAATAAACCTACAGAACCTATCTTGTTCGTAACCCGGGGACTGCCTGTATTGTTTTCTTAATCACATATCTGGATAATGTTGGATCTTCACATGAAATAATTGTTTCTTGTTTCTTTATGTCAACAGATACCAGCCTGTCCTTGGACTCTAGCAAGCAGGGCCACTGGTGCAGTGTAGCCTACTGGGAGCACAGGACCCGTGTTGGGCGCCTTTATGCAGTGTGCCAGCCTTCAGTAAGCATCTTCTATGACCTACCTCAAGGGAGTGGCTTCTGCCTGGGCCAGCTAAGTCTGGAGAACCGGAGTGAGGCCGCAGTCAGGACACGGGAGAAGATTGGACTTGGGATTGTGCTAAGCAAGGAGCCAGATGGGGTGTGGGCTTATAACCGCAGCGACCATCCCATCTTTGTCAACTCTCCAACGCTGGATGGCCCCACCTGTCGCTCACTTGTCGTGCGCAAGGTGATGCCCGGCTACTCTCTCAAAGTTTTTGACTTTAAAAAGTCCTGCATCTTGCAGCATCTCTCGGCGCACCCGGAATACACAGATGGACCTTATGATCCCCACAGCATACGCATCAGTTTTGCCAAGGGTTGGGGACCTTGCTACTCAAGACAGATGATCACTTCCTGCCCCTGCTGGCTGGAGGTCTTACTTGGACGATAGCAACCGGTCTTTGCATCCCTGTCCTCCAACTGTTGTATAAATATAGAAGGATGTGTACCACTCTGAGCAGACACATGAGCTGGTAAGGTCCCTTGGTAAAGCCCTGTTTTTACCCTTCTGTGAGCACAGCTTGGCATCTTCCACCCCTGTGCCCTAGGAAGGGGTTTTCCAGCAAACCGTACGATCGATGAAAGCTGTGGAATAATAGGGAGGGCCATGACCTACTGTAATCTAACTTTCACCCTTGTGTCCCCATGCTAATGGCTGTAGCTGTCAATTTTATCCCGCAGTGAGAATGTAATATTTTTGCATATTTTAATACCACAACCGACCACCAGTATACAGCCTCGGTGCTGCGCAGCTACTCACAGGGTTATAACATGAAACCACCCCTATACTCGTAAAACGGAGACCCAAAATATCACATGACAAAAACATTACAGGTGCCATATTGGATAACCTCTTTCTTGCTGCAGGGACCTGGATTTGCATTCCTTGCATTCATTTTATTCCACTTTGTAAGGCGCTCCAGGTTCCTGCCGTAGAAAAAGTTATGTTACCACAGTACACTGCCCACCCTGTTTTCTCCCTTTCCCCCCACAATTGAGAAATTCCCTCCCACCCACACTTTACAGAAAGGACTCAAATACCATACCCTAGATTTAATATAAAATGTTTATATTATTATATTGAAATATATATTATACTTGTAAATACGGAGTCATTTTTACAATGTCATTATTTATGTATGGTGCAATGTGTATATGACCTTAAATACAAATAAAATGCACTTTGGCTTTTACAGTTCTTCCAGCACAGAATCGATAAATAAATGTGATCAGTATAGTGAAAGTGTATGCGGTATGTATGATTAGGGCACGTGTGGGCTTGGGTAATCCTGATAGCTGATAGGGGTGCAGTCATGGCCAAAAATATAAGCACCCTTGCATTTCTGTCAGATAATGTACAACTGCGCAAAAATGTTTTGCAATTACAAATGCATTCTCATGTTCATTTTATTTTGTTTGTATTGGTATGACATAAAATTAACAGCTTCTTGACAAAACAAAATAACAGCTTTTTGGTAAAGCCCATCATTCTACTGCTTTCCTTTAAAGAAATAAACACAGTCCCTACAGTCAAACATGGTGGAGGTTCACTGATGTTTTGTGGTTGCTTTGCTGCTTCAGGCACTGGATGACTTGACTATGTGCATGGCATTATGAAATCTGAAGACTACCAAAGAATTCTGGGGTGCAATGTAGGGTCCAGTGTCAGAAAGTTGGGTCTCTGTCTCAGGTCATGGGTCTTACAGCAGGACAATGACCCAAAGCACTCATCAAAAAGCACCCAGAAATGGTTTCAGACGAAGCGCTAGACTAGAGAGTACTGGACTGGCCAGCAATGAGTCCAGATGTGAATCCCATAGAGCACCTGTGGAGAGATCTCAAAAGCAGTTGGGAAAAGGAACCCTTCCAATCTGAGAGACCTGGAGCAGTTGGGGAAAGAAGAGTGCTCCAAAATTCCTGTAGAGAGGTGTAAGAAACTCATTGATGGTTACAGGAAGAGATTGATTTCAGTAATTTTGTCCAAGGGCTGTGCTACCAAATATTAATTGAGGGTGCCAATAATTTTGTCCAGTCCATTTTTGGAGTTTTGCGTGGAATGTGTCAAATTTGTCTTTTTTTTCCTCCACTTTTTTTGTGCCATACCAATACAAACAAAAGAAACAAACATGAGAATGTTGCAATTACAAATGTTTAGGCAATCTTCTGTGCGAAGTGGTGCATTATCTGACAGAAATGCAGGGGGGCCAATATTTTTGCTCATGAGTATATGTAGCTGAACTTTACTATTGAAAATGTTGGTTGACTGGCTGCTATTCCCAGCCAGAAATATTACTACTCTGAGTCGCTGACTAGGATCAAGTATGCAGCCTATGATTTCTGACTTGCTTGAACTGTATATTACTTCCAAGTCAATGACTCATCAGACTGAAGCCAGAGAACAATCAGTTGCATATCATTCTATAACTGACCAGCTTTCTAGGGTTCCAAATTTCTTCATGCCCCTTTGTGAGCAAACCAGTAGATCCCTAAAATAATAGAGTTCAGGGATCTGCTGGGTATTTGTATGCATCTATTTGGTGCCCGTTGTTGCAAGAAGAAATGCAGAAACGTAAGTAGAGACTGATTTCATAGCCGGTAAGAGATCTGCATGTCTTGGTGGAAGTAACGCACAGCTGAATAAGCTGCAATTATCTTCCCTGGCTGAAGGGTATTTATTTTCAGATTATATCCAATAAAAAATGTTTTCCTACCAATTCCTTACCTCTCACGTTGACCATCACTATGATGAACTGTCTCACTGGTTAATAAGAATGGGCAGCAGGCCTGGGCAAGCTTCGGCACTATGAGGAAGTATTAAAACTTTGTCAGAATGGGATGAAATTCAGTTCTGGGCTATCTGAAGCTACTGCAGGTATGCAGCACCTCTTTACCTTTGTTCAGAGAACTAAATCAAAACCAATTATTATTATTGGCAAGAATACAACCGTCTATGTTTTTTTCTTAAATTCGTGAAATTGGTCAAGTAATAAGACCTTTAAAGGAGAACTATGGGGTTAAGGCTTTTCCCCATAGTTCTCCTTAGGGTAACGGGAGGACACAAACTAGCGTCCTCCCGTCACCCTAGGCTCAGTATACTGAGACGCCGCAGCTGAAGCAGATCCCAACAATTATGCCGGGATGCGCCCAGCTGCGTGATTGACAGCTGGCTCTGCCTATCTAGAGGCAGAGCCAGCTGTACCCTCCCCTGTCCGTTCCGCCAGTCAGCGCTGGCGGATCGTTGAGGGGGGAATCCAGCCCCTCCCCTGTCACGGCAGAGAGCCGTGACAGGATCGAGAGGTGAGCGAATGCCAGTATGTGTTTGCTCACCTCCCGATCTACTGAGCCGACCTGTGACAGTCTCATTGTCACAGGTCAGCTAGAACTATGAGGTGAGTGAAAAGCACTCACCTCA